GATTCATGCAAATATTCGATATAATATTTATGATTCGAATATAATTTCTTCGACATTATGAATTTAATAAAAAATAAGAATATTTGTAAATGCTAAATATGATTCTATTTATTTAAATTCGAAATAATAATAAAATTATATTTTTTAAATTTTATATTTTCGATTTTTTCTATTACTCCCAATTTATCTCTCTTATTTCTTTCTTTTATTTTATTCTTATTTATACAAGTCTTTTCTATTTCTTCTTTTTTTTAAATTATTAGTATTTTCTTAATATTTATAGCTTTCTTATTTCTTTGATTTTTAGATCTGATTAAAAAAATAAGACATAAGAAATATAATTATTAGATTATTTAATTCTTTATTTTTCTATATTGTCAATATAGAAGATATAAGAATATGAGATGAATTAACATATTAAGAAATATTACCAAATAGGAAATAAGATTCTGGTATATATCAAAAATATATTCAAAAATCTTGCCTAGATCCTTGCCCAAATTCCAAAGCCGTTTTAAACTCATCGTGATAGCAGCAGCACCAGTAGTATAGTGGTAGCTAAGAGCAGGCAAGCCTTAACCGACAGGTCTAGGAATATGATTCCATTCTTATTTTTAGGGATCGAGATTGATTCGCAAGACTCAAATTTGCCCCGACAAAAATTCAATATGAGAACCATATAGAGGAATAGATATTTGCCCTGCCCCCACCCAGCTCCCCGCCCTTATAGTTTCAAGACACCATTTTTGGCGCTATAAAGCCCCAACGATTTAATATGAATATCTTATAATTTATAATCTGTAGCCCGTCGTCGTCCGCTCCGCCCCGCTCGCTGCGCCCGCCCTGCCACGCCCCAATCCGCTCCCTGCTCCGATTACAAGACGCCATTTTTAATTCTTTATGATAAATATTTCGAAATAATTATCTTATAATTTGTTGCGCTCCGCCGCCCCGCTGCTTCGTTCTTATAAGCACCTGCCCAGCCCCGCCAGCCGCGCCTCGCCTACTCTGCCCCACTTCCCCCCGTTGTCTATCCTAATAATTACAAGATGTCATTTGTGGTAATTTAGAACACCAACGATTCAAAATAATTATTTTATAATTTATCTGTAGCCCTTCCTCGTTCATTCCGTCCCGCCCCAACCCAATAATTACAAGATACTAATTTTTTGACTTTTTGAGATATAAATATTTCAATCGAATTATCTTATAATTTATTTCGCCCTGCTACCCCGCCGCTGCCCCTTTCCCGTAAGTGCCGAACCACCCCGCTAGCCGTAGATGGCCCGCTCTGCCATATGGCGCCCCAATTATTTATCAAATCCCGGGGCGGGGCGGATATTTCAGACCTGAAATAAATCTCACTTTTCTTCAGAAATTCCAAAATCCCTATTTATACGAAAATTCAAATTCTAATTTATAGATATTATAAATGAAATAAAACAGAATTATATATAAGACACCTATATTAGTATAGAAAATCCTAGGTTCAAATCCTTCAAATATTATATAAGAAATATTCTAAAATTCTCGAAGATAATAGATATTTTTGAACTATTATATCTATTTATATGGATTCTAGAGAAGAGATATAATTTTCTAAATTTATTTTCTTAAATTATGCTCCGACCCAGAAGCTAGATTTCTTATTTCTTCAAATTTCGACCAAATCTAAAAAGCGAGAAATAAGAAATTCAACGTCCAATAACCAATAATCTAAAGAAGAAAAATATTTAATCCCTAGATATCTAATTCCCTTATTTTTCGTTCCCGAAATAAGAGAAATAAGAAATTCAATTATAAGATTTCCTAAAAATTTTGAATAATAAGAAATAAAAATAAAAATATATCTATAAAAAACTGAATATATATATATATATTCATGAAAAAATATTTTTGTCTTTATTCATTTTCATTATATATATTCTTATTTCAATATAAATTCATAAAAAATAAATCTATTTATAGAATATATAAAAATAAATTATATAAATAAGAAATTTCAAATATTAGAATAGACAATAATTAATTATCATAAATATATAGAAATTTCTATTCATTCTGAAATTATATAATCTTCTAAATAAGGCTTAGATATAAGAAAATATATTATTCAACCTTTCAAATTTGGAATATATGATAAAAAAATAATCAGAATTTAATAAATTTCGATTTTTTGAATATTTTCTTCAAAATCTCATAAAAATTCGGATTCTAGAAAATAATGAAATACCATTATATTTCAAGATTCAAATTTATAATTTCGTATTTTAGAAAATAATGAGAAGAAGAAATTCAGAATTCAATTAAAAGATAACAATTATTATATTATAGCAAATATCATAATTATAGGGTTGTAAATTTGCCAAAATGACATTTATAGGATTTCGTTTTTATAGATAGTCCATGTTAAAAGCCAATATTTATTTCTGAGATATAGAGATTCAATATCTTTCGAAGATTTCCGAATATAGCCATGCCAGACAAGCAGCAACGACAAAGCAGGTTGTTTGCCCCTGGCATCTACTTCTTCCGCATGCTGGCACTGTCTGTCTGCGACAGATGTGAGACTTGAAATATTCAGAAAATGAGTCTGCCAACGGGTTCATGTTTGTAGTTGAAGCAAGGCTAGAATGAAAAGTGACGTTAAAGCCCCTAAACTCAAAGCTTTGCAACGACTTCAGATGTCAATCCGAACCCTCCACTTAAACGCCCCAAAGTCGAAGCCTACTGAGGCAACCGAGGATGCTTTGACCCTTGTCTGTGACAAGGGATACGTCTCCCGAAGAAAAAATCCAGAACTCGACCGAGCAGGACAGTAGGTCCATGTTCAGGCAGAGGGATTTTGGGGTGTCGGGGGCACCAAGGCAGAAAAGCCTCCTTCCCGTCTGGGTGGCCGGCAAACTTCCAGACCAAACAGCTGGAGCCAGGCAAAACGAGGCGCCAAATTCAAACATTTTCGGCTCAGTCATATCCTTTTTTGCAGCGAAAGCTGATGTAGAAAATGATCGAGTTCGTCGTCGCAGCTATAATCCCCCCCGGAATTCGAGCTTCTTGAATATACGGCCCTGCCAGCAGCACAAAGAAGAACACCACCAGGACCATGACGAGCCACACCAGGATGGTCTTGCAGTACTCCAGAAATCCAGCCGGCTTGCTGGAAAGGTGTTCGCACAAGAAGAGAATCAGCTGCATGATGTTCCTCACAGCTGTAGAAGGCTTGTTTCGATTTGGGGGTCTCTTGAACTAACCCTTAGAGTTCTTAGGGGAAGGCGCTTCTTTGCGGTGCTTCCTTCTAAAGGCACGTCTGAGCTAGCAGGCCCCTGAAACCTAAATCCGAAACCCCTCCACTCTAACCCCTAAACCCTGAAGCCATAAAGCTCCACACACTGCAAGCTAAGACTCGAGCTGACCACGAAATCCCCAAATTCACCAGGCGAAAGTGTTTGGGTGTAGGGTCCAGGGGACAAACCCTAAACCCTAAACCCTAAAACCCTAAACCCTAAACCCTAAACCCTAAAACCCTAAAACCCTCAAACCCTAAAAGAGCATCCGACGAGGATCATACAAAAGAGAGGAGCTGTCACGACCAGCACCAGAAAGGCAGCAACTGCCTTTTGGAAGCTGGGGGTTTAAGAGTTTAGGGTTTGAGGGTTTTGGGTTTTGGGTTTTTAGAGTTTAGGGTTTTAGGGTTTAGGGGTTCAGGGGTTTAGCGGTTTGGG